TGCTATACAAATAAAAATTTAAATGAATAATTATTTTAGCCATATTGTTTTTGAAACTGGACGTTTTTTTTTTTTTATTTATTGAAAAATATTACAATCTGTCTCAAGGACATTTATAATAGTGTTCACAGATCACATTCACACTCTATATACAGTAAATAAAATAAATTATACAGAAAAATAACATATATACAATAAATAAGAATAAAATAACCTAAAAATAAATGAATAAAAAGAACACATACATACCTATATACAATATTTACAATTTGGTGAGGGAACTCCAAACCAGACTTGTCTCTCCAGGTGTGAAGGGAACAGCATGGCTCCAGGAGATCCCAGCACTTCTCTCTCAACCGCGTCACGGGGGCTAAACCCAGTGGAGATTGAGCAAGAGTGCTTAAGCCACATACACTCATGTCGTGAGTGGAGAATCTGGCCATTGCCAGAACTCCAATATTTACAAACTATAAAAGGTCGCGGGGCCACTGCCGTTTCAACCTCCTTGGAGGATTATATGGATGGGTGGCGCTGGATAGAGATTGTGAAAAGGGATTTGGATGATGGGTAAGGTTCTGGTGGAATTTGGAGAATTTTGATGGGATAAGGTCTAGGACAAATGGGATATTAAGGTCATGGTGCAGGGTTTTGTTGGTTACATAGAAAGGAGCATCGACTATTGTTCGAAGGACTTTGGATTGAAAGGATTGGATGCGTTTGATGTTAGAAAATTTTGCTGTTCCCCACAGTTCAAGTCCGTAAGTCCAGATAGGTTTCAATATTGTCTTGTAGATCAGTAACTTGTTTTCAATGGAAAGTTTAGATTTCCTGTTTAGTAACCGGTATAGTTGGCCATATCGTCGGTTTAGTTCCTGCCTTTTAAGTATAGTATGAGGGTTCCATGTTAGTCGTCTGTCTAAGAGAAAGCCAAGGTACCGGACTGTGTCTGAGAAAGGAAGCTGGATGGAATTAAAGTGTACTGGTGGACAGGAACTGCGTCGGAGCGTGAAGGTGATGTGTTGGCATTTGGATTCGTTTACTTTAATACGCCATTTATTACACCAGTGCTCAATCAGGGAGAGGTGTCTTTGAAGGTTTGAGGATGCTATATCAGGATCTGAGTCGGATGATAGAATGGCGGTGTCATCAGCAAAAGTTGCCAGGAAGGTATCGGGATGGACAGGGATATCGGCGGTAAAGAGGATGTAAAGGACGGGACCCAATACGCTACCTTGAGGAACACCTGCCTCAATTGGATAGCAATGTGAAAATTCAGTACCGCAACGAACTCGGAAGGTACGATCTGAGAGGTAGGAACGGAGAACAAAGTACAAGGACTGAGGGAGATAGTTTTTCAGCTTGGAAAGAAGCCCGGCGTGACATACCCGGTCGAAAGCTTGAGCTATGTCCAGAAATGCTATGCTTGCTTTCCAATGCTGCGGAAATATGATCAACCACTCGGAGTCCTTGTTGGACTGTAGAGTATTGTGAACGAAATCCAAACTGATGGGAAGGAAGATTTTGGGATTCTATAAAGGGTAGGATGCGTTTCAGGAGGAACTTTTCAAAGATTTTTTAGAGAATCGGAAGAAGGCTAATTGGTCTGTAGGACGTTGAGGTGTTGGGAGGTTTGCCTGGTTTCGGAAACAATATAATAAAGGGTGGTTCGTAGGATGCTATTGTATATGTATGTAAGGAATATGACAGTTTTAGGAGGGAGTTGTCTAAGGATCTGAGAGGTAAGGAGGTCGTATCCAGGTGATTTGCGGGTAGGTAGTTTTTTTAAGAGGAATTTGACCTCAGAAGGATTAACTGCTTCAGGCGGTAAGGAGAATGGGATCGGTGAATTAAGGAATTCCTCTACTGCTGACGTGTGGGTGGGATTGGATTCTGGATGAGAGGTGAATGTAAGGGAAAGGTGTTTGGCGAATTCTTTGGCTCTATCTTCGTCAGACGCAGCCCAAGAGCCATCATCTCGACGGAGAGGATGTGATATATGATGGGGTTTTAGGATATGTTTAGTGATCTTCCATAAGGAATTGTCATGAGAAGAGAGGGAATTAAGGTAAGAGTTGAAGGATTGGGATCTGAAGGTGGCCAATTCTATCTTTAGTTTTTTTGCAAAAATAATTATAGGATTGACGATCGGTGGGGTGTCTAGTACGTTGCCATAATAATCTGGCACGGCGTTTGGTATGGATTAGGTCTATGAGGTGTTGAGGTAACTTATTTTTCTTAGGAGTTCTTGAGGAGTGATTTGGAGAGGAAGCAGTCAAGATGGCTTGTTGGATAGTGGTGGTAAAAAAGTGAACGGTATTGTCAAGGTCATCTGGGGTTTTCAGGGTCATTCTGAGGTCAATTTTATCGGAAAGGATTTGGTGAAAGAGTTTCCAGTTAACTGGGCCTCTGATGAAGGACGGTGGAGAAGACTTAGGAATAGGAGCTAGAGATAATTGGAGTAATAATGGACTATGATCTGAGGATAGTTCGGCAAGAGGGGTAAGGGAATGATTGAGGGGACCTAAGCCACTGTGGATGAAAAAATCAAGGATATCGGGATTACGGTTAGGATCTGTGGGCCAGTAGGTAGGTGAGTTGGGTGGAAGGAGACTGAAACGTTGGGTATTGAGTGCAGACAGAAATGTTCTGCCACGAGAATCCGTGGTTCATGAACCCTAAACTTGATGCTTGGCATTTAAGTCTGCACCCAGGATGAAATGATGACCTAAGGAGTTGAGGAGAGAACTGAACTGGACTTTGGATATGGATCTGTTAGGAGGGCAATATGCTGATGGAAGGGTGACTGGAAAGGAGAAGGTTTTGATTACATTAGCGGTTGACTGTAGGAAATCTTGAGTAGGTAATGGGAGTAATTGATGGGAGAGGGATTGGTGTACGATGACAGCAGTACCGGCATGTGCTCTGCCGTCAGGATGGTCAGTACGGTATGTTAAATACGGTATGTTAAATACTGCGGGATTTTTAAATGCTGTTTTATGGTCAGTCGAGTTTCTGTAATTAGGGCCACGTCAATGTTCTTGTCTTGTAGTAAAGCTGTTAGTTCGTCTACGTGATTTCTAACACCATTCGCATTCCAAAGGAGAATGGACATGGGTTTTGGGATGTGAGTCATTAAGGATTTTTTAAAGGAGGGATGAGGTGAGATATGAGATTTGTAAGGAGTGATATGAGTGGAGTAACTAGGGATTTGAAATCGGTGAGGAAAGATGCTAACAAACTAGTGAGATCTGTTGCATTTGAAGGAGGAGGAATATGAGGAATTTGAGGTTACTGATGATTATGTGTGTTAGGATGAACAGAATATTGAGATTGGGGCTGAGGTAGTTGCTGCGGCAGGGCTTCACATGTATTATGGGGGTTCTTACCTCCAAGTAGTTCGGAGTTTGATAAATTATTGTTAACAATTCTAGAAGGTTCTCTTCTTGGTCTGGTTGTCTCATCTTGAATCAGGTTCTTCTGGTATCTTGATTTGAGACTCTTATAGGTTTGGCAGCCTTTGTAGTTGGCCGGGTGTCCCTCCTGGCATAGTGCACACACTGCAGGATCTTGTATTGGTTTGGTGCACTCCACAGATTTGTGATGTTCACCGCATTTCACGCAACGCGGCAGATGGTGACAATAAGTTTTCGTGTGGCCATACGCCTGGCAATTGTGGCACTGCACAATTTCCTTCTTGGGGTATGGCTTCTCTATCTTCACGATAGTGTAGTACAATCTCTTGATATCATATATTTTTTCAATGCCAGGTGATGGCTCTAGATCCACGAAAAATAAAGGTTGTGGAACTTTATTACTCACTCCTGGCTGCTCCTTTTTCTCCTTCAGAACGTTGGTTACCTGACGCACTTTGAAACCAAACGCCGCTAGTTCTTCTTTTATCACTTCAGTTGGGGTTGAGGAGTGTAAATTTCTTACCAACACTCGTAGCGATCTCTCCTGTTTCAGCTGGTACGTGTGGAAATTGGCGTTCGTTTCTGACAGGTACTTCACAATTTTTCGGTAGGCTTCTGCAGTATCAGGTGTTATTTTTGTGTCGTTAGTCCTGTTGAGGCAAGAATAACTGCCGGAGCAGATTTCGTTTAGTTGTGTACACAGTAGTTGAAAATTTTTGATATTTTTTACAAATATCGGAGGAGGCCTTGGTTCCCTGGCTACTGTTGCTGACTCCATTACTTCTCTGTCATTATGAAGCACTTGGAACGGGTTTGGAGTGAAGAAAGGAGATTCTTCAACCATTTCTTGCGAAGATGTACCTGGTTGAGGCTGAGGTTCTGTATCTGAAGTTTTCACTGTGGTTATTGGAATTATTTCTCGCAGGCAGCGATGAGTTTTTTGTTTCACTGGTGAATCACGAGGGGTACTAACGCCGTCTGACCGAGTCCTCTTAGTGGGCACCTTACTGGACATCACTGGCTGACAATGCCGCATATCATAAGAGAAAAAAAAAAAAATGTAGCAAACTGTAAATAACAACTGCTCTGGTGTACACTTCAACTCTATTCAGTAAATAATCAAAGAGATTCCACTGAAAAATAGACAACAACTGAGAGAAGATTTCAGAACACGTCCTTCGCATCAGCTAATCCACTGAAACTGGACGTTAAAGAAATAAATAAATTACTAAAAATAAATTGCAATAGTGTTATTCCTCTTTTTGTAGCAGAATTTTAAATGAACTAAATAAATATCTCAAAGCTTATATATTTTAAAGAATTGTTTAAATGCTAGATGTTAATTGAAATCAAACTTTTTTTATATATCATTTGTTTTTATTTAACTACCTTCAAATGAATAGATTAAGGCACCTTTTTTTATGCATAAATTCCGTTTTGGCTTATAATTTTGGAATTCTGTCATTTGTTGTTCAAAAGACTCCAAACCTTTATCAAAATCCTTATAGCAATTTTAAATTAATGCCTTTCTGGGAATAATTTCATTTCCTCAAAATATCCGAAAATCCAGGTGTTAGTCCACCTGTTATGTATTTATGTTGTTCCAGTGTTATCCTTAAACATAAGACTTCGGGAGTCTACATATCCAAAAACAGGTAACTTTATTATCTCTAACTTCGAGTATTGCTATCATGTACATGGTAGTTGGTCTGGAATGCAGGGAACATGGCTGAAAGGAATAACGTATTGTTCCATTGAATTTATCTTATTGGTCTCCAGCCGTTCCAGACCTCCAGTTAATATGTCGAGTAAAGGTCACTACACCCTGTTTTCCGAAGGGAAGAGCCTAGCTAAATTCTTAATTTGTTCAACCCAGTTCGTCTGTACACTCTTTAAATAAAATATACTACCCTACCCACAAACTTTCATTGCCTTTCTTCCAGAACTGCTCCCTTTAAAAAAAATTATTTATCATTCGTTCTTTCAATTCTTCGTTCAATTATTTCCCCACATTCTCAATCATTAAAATTTCATTATATATATAAAAATATTAAAATATAGGTTTCTAATTGACAAATATTAGTGTAATTGTACATATGTATAAGGGAAAATATATTTAGGGAAATTAGGGAAATATATATTTTGAAATATATTTTGATTAATTGTATAAAATCATAAATCAACAGTCAGTTAAAAGTGATTCCTTGTAGGTTTATAGTCGAGTATAACAGGTATCTGTTATAAAATAATGGAGCTCTTTTTTCACAAAAAAATGGAGCTTTGTGGTGCCATCAAAGCAAAATCTCCACTAACCAACACTGAGGAAGGGTGAAGACCTCTTTCCACCCTTCCAATGACTTTCTGGGCTTCTTTAGAGCTGTGTGCGTTCACACCATCATTTTGGCTGTCATTCTTCGAAATGCACTCCTCTTAAGGTCACTTTTTATTATGAGAGACATTAATCTGAGAGAGATTCTCATTTCCCGAGATATGAATTGTTGTTTCCGAATGAGATTTCTTCTGATTCGAGTAGCCACTGTTCTCACTGCAGTTGCAGTTCTACCGGTGCGGGGACAGCCCGGTTGAGATCTGTCACATACAGATAGGGTCTCATTATATCTATTTATATTGAGGTACACGAAGATATGACTGATACCCAAAGCTTTCAAAGTATTTATCTATATTTTCCAACTCGTGAAATGTGATCACAGCTATTCGATCTTTTTATCGTCCCACTCCATGTTAACTGAACGAAAGAAAAACACAAACTAATTGAGATTATTATCCTGACATTTAAAGAAAATAACCTGATAGAGGTTAGGATTATCTAAATAATAACCAATCATGTAAGCAAAGTTCAACTTTTGTAACAGTATTTATTGCGGGACTAGGATAATTTACATATTTACCAGAAAAGATAATGCTTAATATGGTTGTAAGATATTCGGGCTTGGGGAAAAAACGTACGTAACTTGGTCCACTGCATAGATAAATTATTCAAGAATATCTATGAACTTTTTTATTGATGCCATTTAAACATTATACCCACCAAACATATTAATATATATATATATATATATATATATATATATATATATATATATATATATATATATATATATATATATATAATATTCATGTTTTTGTAAAACCTTAGAAAGGTTGAAATTAATTTAACAGTGTCATAATTATTCCTATGAATTATTTTCATTAGTTGGTGGGATGAATAAAATCTAGCCCGCTTTTATAGGTATTCTTTTAGTGTCTAATGAATACCGAAATGGAATGGGTAGTTTTAAAATATCACATTAAACAAAAATTTAATCAGGCTACATTTTCAGCATTAATTCTTCGAAAAATTTCATGACTACTATTTCTATAATCTTATTTTCCTTAAATATATTTTTATTTTTTATTTTTATTTATTTTTATTTTTATTTTATTTTTATTTTTATTGTATTGTATATATAGTATGAATGGGCCTCACTCAGCTTTAATACTCAGTGCCCTTAAATGTGGAAAAATTTATTATTTCTCAATAAAAAGATTTTTAAAAAAATTCCCTAAAATACATTAATCAATAAATAATTACATTAGCACTAGAGCCTAAGATTAGTTGAAAATAGCGGTCGCGATTTTTAAGTAATCATCAAATTCGATTAGGATCCCGGGGGATCTTGGGTAATATCCCGAGGATCCTCGTGGCCATCTTTAAGCAAAATGGGCAATTAGTTTTTTTTTTTTTTAAATAAATCTCAATTTCACGTAATGTCTATCCGAGATTATGAGAGAATTCCTTATTAACTTCTTCGTTTTGAAAGTTTTCACTTTGAAATTCATATTTACGGATATAGATATTATGAATATTAATTTTTAACCCTGCAGGGTAGAGGCAACAATAAAAACAAATAAATAACTAAATAATTTTTATAGCTGTAAAATTATATTTGTTAACCATTGAAGAATAATGGTAGATTTATTTTAATTTAATAACTCTTCGTTCATTCAATTATTAAAATGACGCTAATATTTACATTTACCTAAAACAAATATGTAAAAAGAGGAGAATATAGTTTCAAATAATAAGTCCAAAGTTACCTTTATTTTGTCAAATAACAGAATCTGTTTATTTTTATTCACAGCAAGAATATGGCATGTCATAATTTACTTATTCATTAAAATTTGAGAACGCAAATAATCAATAAAAAGAATCCATCAATACCATGTAATAATTTCTAAAACTATTTCAACAAGTTTTTCTATGGATTTAGATGCTTGTGATAACGAAATGCCAAAAATGTCCCAATAAACTGAAATTAGTAAATACTGTCTGATCACAAATATAAACATGAATGGTCCACAATGATAAACAGAAAATCTTAGTTGATATTATTCTATTTTCTATTTTATTTATTTAATGAAATTTACAACTGTATAAACACTATAACTAGTAAAAAATGCACACATTAGAAATCATGACATGAACAGACGATGAAGAGATACTGCCCAGTGGTAGCACTCCGTTTTTAATTCTATGTGAGAAGATCACGAGGCCATCTTATTTTCAGACGCTTAGGAGGGTTATCAGGAATCGAGGGAGAAGCAAGGCTGGAAACAAGTTGATTCGGATGGGACTGGAGTCAGCGGCATAAGGGACATTAAGGTCTTAACGAGTGGTTTTATTTGTGACAAAATATGGGTCATTATAGATGTTACGAAGGATTTTCGATTGTAAAGATTGGATACGATAGAAATTCGATGGTTTTGTAGAGAATCAAAGCTCAACTCCGTATGTCCATATAGGTCTTACAATGGATTAGTAGACGAGTCTTTTATAATTAATTGATAGTTTAGAGTGTTTGTCTAGTAAGTGTTGGAGCAGACGGAAACGTCGAGCAGTTTCAGTCTGGTATGCCGATTCCAAGTGAGACGTTTATCCAAGTGGAGTCATAGGTAGCGGATTTGTTCAACAGGAAAAAGTGGAATATCATTGAAGGATACTGTAGGACAAGACGTTGTAGGTTTACGACGAAGGATGAAGGTAATTTGATGTGATTTATTTTTATTCTCCAGTCATGACATCATTCTTCAAGGTTTTTAATATGTGATTAGAGGGTTTGGGATGCAATTAAAAGTTCATTATTAACAGATAGGATACAAGTGTCATTTGAATAGGTGGTGATGACCGTGATGGGATGGGTTGGGATATCGGTGTATAAACTGTATAAAGGATAGGACCTAGGATGCTCCCTTGAGGAACACCAACAGACTGAGAAAAGAGGGATGAACATGCATTGTTATGATTTACTTTGAAATATCGATCAGTAAGGTATGAACGGATAATGAGGAAGTATGTAGGTGGTAGGAATTTACGGAGTTGGTACAGCAGTCTCAGGTGCCAGACTCTATCAAACGCCTGTTCAACGTCGAGAAAGACTCCCATGCAGATAGTTGATATTATAAAAGTAAATTTGGTCGTATTAGCTGAAGTTATCTGGTGAGATTCCATGATCATTTTCAGTAAAAAGTAAGTACTAACAACATTTAAATAAATGAATGAATTAAGCATTAAATTTATGAGAATCGAATATTAGTCCTAATTACTTTCCTACCTATACTGGGTAAGGAAAGTTTTGCTATCGGTTCAAATTTCCGACATGTGGTTTTCGACAGATCTATAGGTTTCAGAGCCACCTGAATCCGAAAAACACATTTTCAGCTATTTGTCTGTCTGTATGTTTGCTTGCCTGTGCCAAGTTTACCTCGGGAACTAGTGTACCGATTTTGTTTCTTTTTTGTTATTTTGAAGGGTTTTGACTACGATAATTGGACGATCCATGCACAATATATGAAAAATATATTTTTCTCTAGACTGAAGTGCTAAAATGGCTCTTACGATTTAGATGAAACTTTCCCATGATTTTCCAACTATGTTCTTTCAATTTTTTAACATATACTAAATTATAGAGAAAATTCAGGAAAAAAAGTTATAAAGAAAAGAGAAATGTTTTGGGACCTTACTCACTTAGTATACATTCTACGGTAATATTTATATAAAATATTTTGAAAGGTAATTAAATTACCTACAAAACTAAAAAAAATAAATAAAAAATCCGTCGGAATTGAACGAGTATTAGCGATGATACAGCGTAAAAATACTGTTAGCCTGTTTTTTTTTTTTGTTTTTTTTTATGGTAACGTCAAATATATTTGGTATTATTGTTGTTGGTTCATTTTATGAATTCCTTACACTTGTGCAATTTGTCGCAGTACTTTTAAAAACATAAAGGAAAAAAAAAAACTCACACGACTTTCCTACCTATTTCAGAAAACTTGAATATCTTTACATATGTGAATCAAGAAAGGAAAATATATATATTAGTGTTATTGTCCTGAGAAGTTTCAGGGGGTTCTGAAACGTATAGATCTGACAAAAACCGCATATCGGATATTTGACCCGATTGCAATACTTTTATTTAATATATTTCTAAATTATTTTAAATAGTTCGAATGTGAGGAATTTAAAGAAAATCTGAGACGGTGAGGTTCAGACCTCATGTTGTGTCAAAAATGAATGACCCAGTTGTTATGATACGAAATTGAATCCGAGATAAATTGAACTTGCTAATATTTTATTCCTATTTTCGAGACGATCAATAAATTTTCGAATCATGAAAATGATCAACAATTGAGGCTCTAAAAATATAAACCTGGTGCCACGTAGAAAGGGTTCAAGTAGTGTTGCCGAAAATTGCACTTTGCAAGAGCAAAAAATACGAACGATTTTTCGAATAAAATTAAGGCAAAATTGGTACTAATATTTGACAATCTTAGTTACTATATGTAAATAGTTGCTATAACCAATATACTCTTGCATTTAACCCCTGTAATTTTTCTCCTATCTAAAAATTTACAGTGATATATATACAGTAACAAGCTAATAAGTAACTGCGAGACTGTTGCGAGTCTGTTGCGAGTCTCTTGCACAAGACCAAGACCATGACAAAGACTGAGTTTGCAAGATCAAGATCTCGTCTCGGTCTCGCATTTGGGCAATACTAAATTCAAGTGTTCAAGCTATTTTCTACTATATTTTTTCTTAAGTTCCTCTCAGCTCTTCAATAATGGTAGAATTTCCGACTATGGTCGTTGGTCGTTCAATTCCGACGGATTTTTTTAATTTTGTAGGTAATTTAATTACCTTTCAAAATATTTTATATAAATATTACAGTAGAATGTATACTTAGTGAGTAAGGTCCCAAAATATTTCTCTTTTCTTTATAACTTTTTTTCCTGAATTTTCTCTATAATTTAGTACATGTAAAAAAATTGAAAGAACGTAGTTACAAAATCATGGGAAAGTTTCATCTAAATTTCAGTGTGGTTCTAGCCTTTGAACACTTAGTGTGTAGCAGTTATACAGCCTTAGTTTAATTAGTAAATTTAGTGGTTTTTACACGGAGATTCATTGTATAAATTGACCAGACTCATCTATTAAATGTGCTGATTCCACGGGTAAGATTAAATATTTATATCAACCGGAACTTGTGCCGAAAGGAGCGAGGAAAGTTAGCAAGAAATTTAGTCGACTTACAGATACCGTGTTAGACATTTTAGTTGAGACGGGGAGTGGGGAGCGCATGCGCTAGATAAGGTCTAGTTCTAGCCTCTATAAGTCAGTAACCCCAGTGTTGAAGTTGAGCTTACGTCAATTTTTATCACAACAATTAACGTATTTTTTTAAAAATATTTTTTGTATACATTTTTCTATATTTTCCGTTTTATTTTTGCTAGGCAAGATGGTTTCATGCCCTATTTGTGGACACACAGTTACCAGGGAAGACAAAAAAAAACATTGACATGCCCTATCACTACATGTCAAGCCATTTTTCATGGTAAATGCCTTAATCCGGACGAAGGTGAATTCGAAAGATTAAGGGCATCAAGGAAGAATTGGGCATGCCCGAATTGTGTAAACGCCCAAAAAAGTACACAATTAAGCGATAAAGGCTCTAGCCCTGCAAGATCAGCTCTTCAGCATCCAACTGCCTCCGACGACGCGTCACAGCTGCTCATGACCACCATCCGAGACCTAACGGCTGAGGTTAAGGGATTAAAATTCGCCCTCGATGCTAATGCCAGCGAGGTTAAGAAATTAAAAACAACTCTCAAGAAGCAGACTAATATAACCTTTGAAAACGCAGAAAAATTAAATGCCATAGAGAACCTTCTGGAGACCCAAAATTCGAGGTTGGAAGGAGTAATGATGGAAAATGCGACACTCAGGTCCCGCGTATCGGAGCTTGAAACCAGATTTAACAGGGCCGAGCAAATGCACCTTTCCAGGTCGGTTGAAATCAGAGGAGTTCCGGTGAGATCCGAGGAGACGCCTATGGGCCTGGTGATGGCCGTGTGGGCCGGCCTGGGCTAGAATTTAAAGCCGGAAGATGTCGACTGCGCGGGGCGGATGAGATCGAGGCAGGATGATACACCCGGGCTGCTACTGGTGAGATTCGTCAGGCAGACGCTCAGAGATGAGTTGGTCCAAAGGCGGAAGATTATACGGGATTTCTCAACTCGACACCTGGGATGGCAGGAAAATGATGCTCACAAAGTATATGTAAGCGACGCAATGTCCTTAACCAACCGACATCTATATTGGTTAGCCCGACAGAAGAGATCTGCGGGTAAGATCAGATACGTCTGGTTCAACTCGGGCAAAGTGAAATGTCGACGTGATGACGGCCAGCAGGTTGTCGTAATCAACTCGCCAACTGACTTGGACATATTTGCATGACTTGCACTCAAATGTTCAATTGCTCTGCTCACTTTATTTTTCATTTCTGTTTTTGCACATGTCGATTTTTATTTTATTGTTTTTAAAGATAATAATTTAGTTGTTTTTGATCTAATTTATTTTGATAATTATTTTATTTTCGTTTATAAGAACAGACTATGTTTCATACTTTTAGACACTTTAATATACTTAAATACGTTTTATTCCGATATACAGGTACATCTTTCGTTTACTGAATTGTATATCTCCAACTTTTCAACATTAATAATACCTGGGAAATTACTATTCTTTATTTTCTGTTTTTGTTTAGCATGATTCACTATTACACTCATGATTCTTCGCAATAGAGGTGTCATCAACAATTATGAACTCTGGTCTCATACTAGCTCCAACCACTATAAAAATATTCCTACCTCTAGCACTTTCAATCTGTTAACCAAGCCATCCCTCCTTCTCTCATGACTAATATCCTTTTAACCTGCCACGTCAACGCTCAGTCACTCCTAGCCCATTTTGATGAATTTTACGATTTTTTCCTCCACAACTTCTACCATTTAATTGCAGTTTCTGAAACCTGGTTAAAGCTCTCTATTCCGTCTTCCCAAATTACTTTACCCCATTATACCCTCCTTCGTCATGACAGAGAGGATCGTATAGGTGGTTGAGTGGGCCTCTTTGTCCATGACAGCCTTAAATTCAAAATCCTACAGTGCTCTTCCCATACGGATTCTCCGCACCTGGAATATCTTTTTACTGAAATCCTCACCCCATCATCTCCTCTTCTCTTTGCAGTCATTTATCGTCCTCCAAGAATTCCGTTTGATGAATCATTTGAGACTTCCCTTTACAACTTGATCCCTTCCTACTCCAATATTATCCTCACCGGAGACTTCGATACCAATTTAATGATACCATCTTCTGACCATTCCTACCTGACAGGCCTCCTCGAATCACTCAGCCTCTATATAGTACCCTACAACCCTACCCATCATACCCAGTTCTCAGAGTCCTGGCTTGATTTGTTTGTCTTGGATTCCCTGGATAAACTCTTGTCGGCATCTCAGCACCCGGTTCCATTTCTGTCTTCCCATGATCTTATCCAGATTTCCTATAACATCCCGGTCTCATTTTTTTCTCCTCAAACCGTATCCTTCCGAAACTTCAACTCCCTCACCTATGAAGCCCTGTCGCAGGATCTCGATGCTTCCCAGTGGGACCCCCATTTATTTCTGTAAATCCATTGACGCCATGGTAGAAATCCTTACCACCCATCTTCATACCATCCTCGACCGCCATGCTCCTCTCCTAACTAAAACCATCCGACATTCCCCTGCTCCTTGGCTGACACCCGCTTTAAGAGAGTGCATGAGAAGAAGAGATGCGGCAAGACGAAGGTTTAAACGTACCCAACTCTCGGAAGACTATATCGCCTTCAAGCAACTACGAAACAGCACTCAGTCTGCTATACGCCGAGCCAAATCCCGTTACTTCCATCATTCCTTATCCAACACCCCAAACTCCAAGGCCAAGTGGGCTATCCTAAAAAACTGACCAATTGCAACACACCTCAAATCCAGCTCATCTCCTTTTCTGCTGATGACCTTAACGCTCACTTTGTCTCCTGTCCCTTCTCATCATCATCTCCTGCGGCGATGCCGACTCCTGTGTGTTTCCCTATAAATTTTAATCCTGATCAATTCTTTTTTTCCCATATTACACCTGATGACCTCTTCAACTCCATCCAAAAGTCGCAAACCAATGTTTATGGACCTGATAACATCCCAGTCAGACTGATCAAAGCCTCACTATCATCCATCCTTCCAATCCTCTACCATATCTACAATTACTCACTACAAAACGCTACCTTTCCTACATCCTAGAAACCGCACTAGTTCGCCCTATGAAAAAGACTTCCAACCCGTCAACTTTCTAAACCTTTAGAGCGACTAGTTCAAACCCAGGTATCAGATTTTTTAGAACAGAATAACCTCCTAAATCCCAACCAGTCCGGTTTCCGGCCTGGCTACTCCACTCAGTCTGCCCTCATCAAAATTTCCCAAGACCTTCAAACAGCCATGGACCAGCAGAAACTCACCATCCTTATTCTCCTTGACTTCTCCAAAGCCTTTGACTCAGTAGACCACAAAATTCTCCTAACCAAGCTTAAAAATATTTCCTTCTCAACTAGTACCCTTAATTGGTTCCAATCCTTCCTTTCCGACCGCTCCCAGTATGTTGTAGTCCCCAATAACCCCCCATCAGAACCTTTACCTTTGTCCAGGGGTGTCCCACAAGGCTCCTCTTTATCTCCCACCCTTTTTTCCATCTACATCAATGACCTTTCATCCTCTATCCTTCACTGTCAATACCATCTGTACGCCGACGATGTCCAGATTTACCTCTCCTTCAATCCAACCGAATCCTCTGGCGCCATCCAAAAATTACAGGATGATATAAATGCAATATGTGCCTGGGCAAATCAAAATAGGATTACTCTAAACGCCAATAAGACGGAAGCCATTCTGATCGGATCTCCCTCACTCCTCAAATCCATCCAGATACCCAATCTTTTCCTGAACAATTCACCTATCTCATTCTATATTTCTGTAAAGAACCTTGGTGTTACATTCGATCAAACCCTCTCCTGGAAACCACACATCTCCCAAATTTCCCGTCGTACTGTCTCTACCCTGAAACAGTTTAACCATCTCCGCTACCATATAAATCCCGTCAACTCCTGGTTTCCTCCCTTGTGTTCCCCCACTTCGACTATGGCTATCTGGTGTACGGCGGACACTCGGGAGAATTCGAGGCCAGACTTAAACGCCTATTGAACTGCGCAATACGTTTTGTTTTCGGAATCTCAAGAGATACGCATATAACCCAGTATTACACCATGTTGAAGTGGCTCTATCCATCCAACCGCCGTTTGTACTTCCTTGCCACTTTTCTATACCAAGTCATCAGAACTCAGCGGCCTTCCTCTATTTTTCACAACCTACAATTCAAATATTTCATTCAATCCCCTCTCACTAGATCTCGTACCTCCGACCTCTATCCACCTCCCCACCGAACTGCAGCGTTTGACAAATCGTTTATAATTCAAGCCGTCTCCCTCTGGAATACCATCCCTTCCGATATCCGGCATGTACAATCACTTTTCTCATTTAAATCTCTCCTTTTTAACCACCTACTCCTTTCTCAACTCGATTAATCAATAAATGTAGATAAGAGAACTTTTAAAGTTCCCCAGAAATTATTTTCTTTACGTATGCTATTTTATATTATTATATAGTTTGTATTATACATATCAGAATGTTTTTAGTGTAATAGTTATATTTTTTGTTTTATTATTTTTTCAAAATCTTAATCTTAATAATAAATGTAAATAATTAATTTTATGTATGGCCACACAGGCATTTTTTCTGTATCTGTAATTTGTCCTAAAGGGACATCAGTCCCAGGATAATAAAAAAATATTTTCATTTCATTTCATTTTCAAAATACTTAAAAATGCACTACTTACCTACATAACTGGCCTATAACATATTGAGAAAATCGCTCTCATTATATGCAATATTTATTTACCTACCGCAAAGAGGGTCATAGCGGAAGGGCAGATGGTTGACATGCCAACATACAGTTAGTTCCCTCATTGCGTGCACTGTCTATCTGTAATTGCTAATATATGCCATCCCAGCAATAGCACTGATTGTATCTCATGACAGGTTTACTGCTTACTGCGTAGCCAATACACACCAATTTTCATTTCAAAAATCATTATAATGATGACACAATCGACATGGCACCATGTATGGTTCAGTACATGTATCATATGAAATATCTGTCTTAATGGTAAAATTAGTAGATACAATTATAATTATTATTTATTATTGAACTCCCTCCAACACGGTTGGCTGACGTATGTTGGACATGGATAACGCAATAATGACGAAGTTAATCTGTGATAAATTTTCTTAAACCTAACGATTTGCTAAACAAAATTTAAATTTGATTTTTTTTTTAATAATAATTTATTCTTGAGATTATAAAGCATGTTATATTCTTATACAATCTGTTCTAGAAAAACTGCATGAAAAGCTTGGTAAAAAAATTAAAATGGTGATTGTTGTTATTTAGGGCTTACAGGCTAAAACCACGAGGTCATCAACGCCTATCTAATCTTCATTTCAATAATCTCAAGAATAAATTATTAGCTAAAAAAACAAACAAAAAACAACTCAAATTTAAATTTTGTTTAGCAACTCGTTAGCTTTAAGAAAATTTATCACCGATTTTATTTTAACTTCGTCATTATTTAAAACTACTGATAATTTTGGTACGAGTCCCAATTTGGTTAGAATCAATACGTAATAAGGACACTATTGGAGAATGTGGCTGACTGTGAGAGTACCGTAGCTATGTTGGCATTTTAGTGCAGGCTGTTTCCTTATCAAAGAGGAATGTGTCAGGTTTGTATGTCCTTTCCTTAATCAAGTTAAGGCAACTTCCTTTCTACGAATAGGGCGGTTCGAGGTAGACAATGATTTCAATGACCTTTTTATTTCCTTCAGTATGTTCGTTGGACTCTCATTCCACATGGATTGCCAGCAAAAATTATTTATAACGTATTCAAATAATGATTTATTTCTGAATTATTAATTTCATTTGCGAAAGAGAATGGACAATATTCTTCAAATTTCTAAAATATTTAAATCATCTCACTTCCATTTAATTTATATGATTGAACATTGTTTTATATTCCGATCTTGAGGTTTTGGGTCTTGTTGGAAATTAATGGACGGATGTTTGTCATTAGACATCGAATTTACAGGTTTTCTAAGAGTTTTATTATCAATAAATACATTTATGTACACCTTTATTTAATACCAATTTGGAACAAAATAATCATAATAAAAATAGTATATGAACTACTAAAATTAAGGCAAAAATACACCTTTTACAAATATAGAAACAAATGTTTATAAATTTACATCCAAATACTAAGGACTAATTGACTAGTTAATGAAATAATAGTTTTAAAACAAAATCAATAAGTAAGATCAGCAATACTTTAAATTATAAATAATTTAAGAAATGCTAATCAGAAATAAAGCTAAACTGTTAGACATATAGTCAACATTTTTGCGGGTAACTTTAAAAAACAGTACTTTAAATAATTTGTATAGGTTGGTTAAATAAAAATATATGTTTGACATTAATATAGCTTAAATAACCTCTTAATTGACTTATAAGAAAAATTATGAAGATGGTAGCAAGATACTCTTTTAACATAATTTTAGTTATTTTTAAAGTAACCAAACCTTTCCTGTTGTACAGAATTAAAGGTTGGCAAAACATAAACAAAATTTATTAACCATTTTTCCATCTTCGAATAAACAGCAAACACAATGGCCTTAGAATAAAAATTACAACAATATAATTCATTCATTAAAAAAATTAATTTATTAGGTATTCAGTATTTATTAGATGTACTATTTTAAGAAATAATTTTAAGGGTAAGAGCTCGTACACGGGTAGACCACTGTAATTGGAGCGTACAGTTCAGGAACCGGCCATTTTACTTCAATACCGCTAGACGAAAATACATTGGCTTCGCGAAAGCTTCCACATTTGTGGCTGGAGGGAAGGCTACCCACACCTGAGCCAGATCTAAAAACATGGAGGAGGGAGGGGGGAGAGGAGAAGATGTCTCTTTACATGATCCAAGAGGAATCAATCCATTGCGAGGGCCTCGAGTTTCCTCCGAGATCTTAGTTTTAATTTAAAATTTTTCTACGAAGTTCGTTGAAGCAAAGTTTTTTAAAAGGCCAACAAAATTAGTCTAAATATATATATATATATATATATATATATATATATATATTATATATATATAAAGAAATTAACCACGAATCTATGCTAACGGAATCGATTCTTTAACATTTATCGTAAAAGTAGGTGTACGAGTATACTGCAAATAGATTCAGGATATTAAAAAAATAGTGGCAGATCATTATTTGCAAATGATTATGTCATATTAATAATTATAAAAATTAGGTCTGATATTTTGGCTGATAAATCTGTTAAAGAATAAATTATCACAGACAATTTTTATTCCATCAACAATTACTGGACTTTGACCGTTGCAACCGTGGTTTGTCAGTCATGGTTTCCAAGGTTCTGTTGTTAGTTAGAGAAAAAAAAACTGTTTTCTTGTAGTACCGCAATATTTTTTAGATATTTTTTTTTAATTGTAGACCTCACGGAAAAACTCATTTTGGTCTTCTGAAAATTACATTCTCTTAAATTAATATTGTGTAATTTACTATTTTCCAAGCGTCACATAACGGAACTTGAAAGATAGAAACCAAAGGCCAATATGCCGATATATAGGTTTTTGCTGTTTATCGGTAAAATTTGTGTATAGGCCAATGCGTAGCTAGTTTATTTATTTCTTTAATTTATCAATAAGTAGAATATTCTAATCGACATATCGGCTTTTGAAGTATCAGAATCTGCCGAAATTTCGATATTGGTCGATCCCGACATAATATATCCGTTCTCCTTTATTCTTGAATATTTACGACAGCCCAGAAAAAATGATAAGTAGTTCTTGTAGCAAAAGGTGCAACCTGCACTACGTCACTTGTTATACAAACGCAATATATATGTCCAGCTATTCGGTAAACAGATCATCAAGTGCTGGACGATGGGCCGGATACATTATTAGTTTGCTGCTGCTGCGTCTTCATTTTCTTCACTAACTTCATGAGTTCGATCCTGAACTCGAATTTGGTGTCCTCATTGAATTTTTTGACGGAAGGTAGTAAAGAGAAGAAAAAAGCCATGTCTTCGTCGGTGGTCAAGGCGTGCGGGAGAGGTTCAGATATCCAATGGTCCCTCCGGTCGGGACTGCAGGACATGGTTGAGCTGGATGGTTTACTTGGTCGCGGGCTGTCATTCAAGTCGCATATCGGGTAAAGCTTGTCTTCTAATCGATCATCCGTGTATTCATCGCCCTCTTCCTGCTGGTAGTAGGCCTCATTGGACAGCTCATCGGAAGGTTGGTACTGCGGCTCATCTTTAGTGCTAGTTGTTTGGGTCGCACTTTTCCTCATCTGTACAGTTTTAGTAAGGAACGTGAGACGGTCGAAGAAAATATATTTTCGGCGCTTGATTGGCTTCTGGCTTCCGCTAGCAGTCCGTTTTGTTGCTTTTAAGTCTTTGACAAAGCAATCCCTGAAGTTTCTCCATTTCTTTTGGATGCTGGTCACTGTAACAAATCGTACATTATTTGTGACAAAAATCAGAATGAAACAAAAAAAAAAAATTAATAATATTAAATATATAGTCATGATTACCATAGAAAAATATGAAAAAATATTATTATTAGCCTCAGCAAAGGCATGTAAGAACAATTTTATAACAAAGTAAGGTATTGAGTTTTCCCTGCCAATATTGGTAACAAAAATATTTAGAAATACAAAACAAACAAAAACAAAATTAAAAAAATTATATCTTTGTTTTAAGTATGAGAACAAAATAAAACAAAAATAAATTTCATAGAATAAAAAATACGAGTTTATCCCATCATATAAACTCTTTTTTTTTTTGTTTTTGTAACGCTATCGTTAGTTTAAATTCCATGAAGTAGTTATACTTCTGTTAGCGGATGATGCTCAGTAATTCGTGGCATGGTGCACAAAGAAACATCAATATACTGAGCGAATACTGTAAAAGCAAATCTTTTACCCTAAATCCATCTAAGTCTAAGGTGTCGGTGTTCCATAAATCTCCAAGGATGAAGAAACTTAAGACTTTGGCTTGGCAAGACACAAGTTTGGAGTATACCAGAAACTAAACATATCTGGGGTGTACCCTTTTCTTCTTCTGGAAAATTTGAGAGAGCCGCGTAGCATTTCTTACATAGATCATCTGTTGCAGCGACCAAAGTGATGGCAATCCTAAGAAATGGAAAAAGCGACTCTTGGGAGACAAAAACCAGCCTCTTTTACTCGATGGTCTCGTCAACACTGCTCTATGCTGCAGAGATCAGGGGGACGAGATACCTGGAGGTTTTGGGGAAGACGCATGTTCGATTTATGAAATCATTGCTCCATTGGCCAAGAAATACACCGAACTATGTGGCTCGCCTTGAAAGTGGGAGATCTCCATTAAGTGTTGAAGTGTTGAAAAAAGTGACCAACTATTGGACAAAGCTAAGCTTAATGAGTGACGAAAGACTACCTAGACAATGCTTTAATAGGCTTAGAGCTCTAGACTCATCCATTGGAAAACCTGATCCAACTTATAACTGGGTTACCCAAGTAAAGATGATTGTGGCGGAACTTGGATGTCAGGGGCTGTTTTCTTGTGTTTTCTCTCAAGGTCTGATGAGGTTCAAAGATGAAATCATGGAAAAAATAAGAAACCATCTCGCATCCAAGGACATCGACAGAGTGTTAAACTCTAAATCAAATCCAAGATATAGAAAAATCTGCTCCTTTAATGTTACAAAACCAGAGGATTATCTTCAGTTTAGGGCTCTTAATTTAAACAAATTAAGAGCCGTTAGTCGTCTCAGAGGAGCAAATAAAGATTTTATGAAAATATACTTAAAAGATGCTACTTTGACTATTAAATCCAGTGAGGTATGTGGTGCATGCAACTACCTTGTAACTGACCCGATAACTCATTTTCTGATCCAATGTATCAAGTTCAACGAGCCAAGAAATAAGTACTTGAAGGCATTTATCACTGAATCTAGAGAATATGCTAGTATGGAGGAGATACTGAAAATAGACACTACGAAAAAAATAAACCAACTGTATTATTTCATACAGGGCTGTTCATTGAACTGTTAAGTGGTAAAGTTAATCATATAACATATATTAATTCTTATTTATATTGCCATTTGTCTTATACCTCTCGAATATTAAAAAAAAAAATAATAAAAAAAAAGTTTTACTAATTGTTATATATATCGTTTACTAATCTGTTATTATATTAGTCATACTTAATGCTGTGGACATTCTTAATGTTATGTTTGAATGCAGTACTAGACTCAAGATCTAACATTGTTAATTATACCATTATATTTATTTGTGCAGGAATTTCCTAAGACAAATAAAATAAACGATCTATCTATCGTTTGTTAAAATTAAAGATTTCATTGGGATTCTAAAGTTCTCTAAGACAATGCAATAAATGCTACTTACTACTCAGCAGAAATGGATTTTGACAAACGAGGTGTCAAGAGGAAGGAAATTTCATGGAAAAGTGCTGAATCCCTATTCCGATCCTTGAATTCGAATTTAATGAGAATCATTGAAAAATTAGGTTTTAAAACTTTGGTGATAGTAAGTTGGTGGAGCGAGACGGGGATTATTAGGTTTCAAGATAAATTTCCTCTGATAGAACTCTAAATGGTCTTTAAACTTGTTTTATATCATTAGCTAATATCGAAAAATAGTATAAATAAAAAAATAAAATAAACAAAATGTCACCAAATCGCATTAATTTCTTACGAATCTAGTTAGTTTTGTTATTAATTTAGTTAGTTAGTTTATAAATCTAATTTTTTTTTTATTTACAAAAAACTATATATCGGTAATTATGAGAAGGTTCGCAATTAAATAGAAGTCCAGATATAAAAATGAAAGCTATTTAGAAAACTAAAGCGTATCATGACAGTTTATGTAAATTTTGATTACCATATATAGTACATTACTGGTGAAAATAGATCTTTCCCAAGCGTGAATAAATGGATACACTGCATGCAACTAGGATAGTTTTCAGGCCAGTTCCAGGTCATGGACTTCTCAAGAAACAGCTATCCATTTCAAATGAAAGATAAAGGTAATATCTATGTTATTCATTGAAAAATATTGCTTAATGATATTTGGAAGGTTCAGCAAGTTTTTTTCATCAAAATCGAAAATTTTCAATCGCTTATTGCTTTTTAGCATTCGAAGAAACAAATTCATCTCTGTGTCTTTCTGCATTACATGCATTGAAGTGACATTCATAACGCCCACTAGCATTGATCCGATTTTGGTGACATTTTTAAAGATTGTATGGGGTAAGTACGTGAATTATTCCATACCAATTTCAGTGAATTTCATTCATGATTTTCACTTTTTGTTTTTTTCGTTCATCCAAATTTTTCCAATTTTTCTCTGTAGTCAATCTCATGTATGGTGCATTCTCTCTGCTTCCGGGAATGCAAATTTGATGATGTTTCTAGAAAACGTGAGGGTCGCTGCGTAGATTGTTCTATATCAATATCATTCTCTACTTTAGCTTTGTTGTTTTCATTTCTATCATCCGAATTTGTTTTAATATCTATCTGAGTGTAGTGAATTCCATGAGATGTATATAACACTTCACTATCACACATCAGGTATAAAATTTATTAAATTCTATTACATACTTTTGCTTAAACTGATCTTGTACTGAGGTTATATTACATTCAAGTTTTTTTATCTCTTTATATTTCGCATAAATCGTAAAAAACCTCTAGAAAATTCAAATTAAGTGGGTACATAGTTTGATGGAGATACAGGTACTGTTTTAACAATGTTAAAACTTACAATTTTCTAATAAGAATTTTTATAATTTACCAATATTTCACTGAAGTTATACTTTCAAGTTTATTCTTAGCCACATTCATATATATTTATCTATTTATCAACGGATGCATTCATGGAAACAATTGGAATCGCGAAGGATAATCCTTTATTGCTTTATGTAACGTTTGGTTGTTTTATATTATT